ATTAATTATATATGTATTAGTTAATTTACCTTCTATCTTATATAAAATAATACATAGATTTCTTCATAACTTATACATGTATTTGCGGGTTTCTAAATTATCAACCAAACGCCGTATTAATTTTACACATGATTAACTTATTTTGTATCTACTTATCAAACATCGTATATGTTATACGAAACTAATACATTATAACTTATTTCTTATCCAGCTACCAAATATTTTTTATATTTTTTTTGTTGTGACTTCTTGACTCCCTTAACTCAATTACACTTTCTAGCACATGCAGGCAGACATATGCATGAAAAACACTTTTCGACAATAAAGATGTATTAATTAAGGCACTCTTTGTATTGATTTTATATTATTATTTTTCTACTAATAAATGACAACTTTTCCTTTTCTTGATCACTTACACTAAACCTAGATATATGACTAATATTGAACGGTCACATAAAACTTGTTTGTCCAATAAAATTTCTCTTACATGACATAAAAGTTTAAATATTCTTTAAAAATTAATCAAACTTTTCATTTATCTTTAATGACATGCTTTTGTACCTGCAAAAAAGACATGATATATCTAATATCACGATTTCTAAGATTAATCTTCTTAATATACATACTAAGTCTTTTGGTGAAGAGCGGCACTTCGCTATTATGAGATGGATGATACCTTTATATGATTTGGACAATCTTTAGCTCTTAAGTTAGTTTTTAAGATTTACAAGTTAGGCCCAATATGTAAGAAGTTGGCTATACGATGGTTTTAATTAGAAGAGGTAGACATGCCAAGGAGAGTTGATTAGACATGATATATACACAATTTTAGCTTACCGAGGATATGACCCTAGATAGGAGATGGAAGAACGTGGATTAGAGTAGAATGTTAGTAGATAGTTGAGTATAGTCTCGCTTTATCCTTCAATAGTAGTAGTCGTAGTATTAATGAGTGTTATATGTTCTTGTTCCTTATTCAATTTCTATTACATCTTTATTGTTTCTTGTAATTCGATTATCGTATTATTTTGTTATTACTGTTCTTTTTTCAGTATGCTTTGTCAAGCCTTGTTTAATATTTTGTCTTGATTTCTTCACTGTTGTTTTTGTTTTTTAGCAGAAGGGTCCATCATATACAACCTCTCTATCTCCCAATTAAGTAAAGATAAAATATACACACATATCCTCTTTAAGTCCGACCACTTATGAATATTATACTAAGTATGTTATTGTTGTATGTCAAGTTAGAAAAAGATTGATCCAAGATATATCAGTTTTATTTTATCCTTTCGGCTTAAAGAACCTATACAACAAGTAGTTCGATATGCTTCAATATATAATGGAGTCATTAATCAAGAACTCAAACTTTCCCATAATTTGTCTTTTTCTACAAAAGAAGAAAGGGCAAAGAAAAAAAAGGATATTATGGGATGATCTAAAAGATAATCTAACTAGTAGTTCTGCTATTATAAGGGAAAATTAGCAAACTAGTTAAAATTCATAACATAATTATTAAAAATATCTACAATTTAAAATAATTATTGAAAATGTCAATATGTCAATATTTTAGCAAATATAATGTATCCTAATATAATTAATTTCTTTTCCTTTTATTTCTCAAATCAATGCCACATTGGACTCATTTTTACCACTACCTAGTAAAAAAGTAAAATAATAAAAAAACCTTATTACCCACTTTCACCTCTTTCTAGATTTTTACTCCAAATTTCTCTAATCTCTCTCTCTCTCTCTTTGATAGGTAACGTTTTTTTTTCAATTATTTTCAGAAATCTGTAAAAATCTCCCAAAAGATATGCACAACAATCCATTGATTTTGCCACAACTGAAATGTTCATCATTTTTTTAAAGTAAAAAATGAGCATTTTCTATTCTGATTTAGCACCACGTAATCCCATCAAGTTTTCCTAATTATTGTGCTATAGACTAAAGCAAAATTCATTTTGGAATATATGCCAAATCCTTGAAAATTTAATTGATAGTACTATTTTTTTCATTTTTTTTAATCTTGAACAAATCGTGGCTTAATGAACAACTTCATAAAGTTTTGTAATCTTATTTTTATTTTGTTTTCATACTATGAATTGGATATAACTTTTGTAGTTCATAATCTCATATTTTTGAAATTTTGTGGAATACAATATATTTTTGTTTTTCTTGTATTTATATGCCTGTTAGTTTTGTATTTATGTCATCAAATTGTTTTCATCCTCAGAAGTGGATACAAAGTTAGTAGTTCATAATAGTATCTTTGCAGCAGATTATGTGGAATACAACAAAATTTTTGTTTAGATACAACTTTTGTATAGTACATAATATTATTTTGTGGGGATTATGTGGAATACAACATATTTTTTGTTATATTGCTTCTTATTTTGTATTTATACTAATTGTATGTCTACTAATTTTGTATTTTTATCATCAAATTGTATTCAACCTCGACAGCGGATACACAATTAGTAGTTCATAATAATATCTTTCTAGCTGATTATCTGAAATACAACATAATTTTTGTTTGTATTTATTTTTTATTTACTTTCATTCTAATTGTATATCATCAAAAGTTTTGTATTTCTGTCCTCACAATGTATCTCAATATCTCTCTATTTAAATTTCAGTTTAAAAGTTTTTAAATTACTCTCTCCCGTGATTTTCTCCTTTATGTTATTAACTAATTGTATTCTTTAAAATTAAACAAAAAAAAAATACATAATCAGCCCTATAACAAAAGAAAAATATTAATATTTTTAATAAATATTGAAAGTGTGGCTAAGGGGTCCTATTAAATGCTAAAATATTGACATTTTGAAAAAATTCCATATTAATTAGCCTTCAATATTGTTACTATAATTTTTGTTGCTTATAGGGGTTCATTTGACCTAAAATAGATGATATTCTGATTTGACTTCTATAGCCCTTCCACATTTTATTTTTTAATATTCTTGGACTTGAGGTGATACTAGAGAAAGAAGCAATTTCAATTGTACGACTTAGAGCCCTATTTGGATCGGTTTATTTTACGTGCTTTTAAGTTAAAATTATTTTTAAGTACTTTTGGTAAATTAAAAAAAAATGTTTATAAGCACTCGAGTTTTAAAGTAAAATTTTAAAAATAAATTGAAGTCATGAGTTAGAATTTCTAACTTATGCCTTTTGGCTTATAGGTCAAAAACAAAAGTCAATCCAACCAGACTTAGATAAGGAAAATGGAGCACTACAATCAATTTCACTCATCCATTTTTGCCAGCTTTGAAATTAAAATTAAAAACCTAAATATCAACCTAAATAAACCTTGACCTTTTCTTTTCTTTTCAAAGTTTAGTTACTATATTATAACAAATATAATCAAGTATATACTTTATACAATAAAATCTTTTTGGGGAGTTTAGAACTTTAATTTTTTTATTGTTGTAGTTTGTTAGGCATCCAATTATGAAAAAACACCTTCAATCAATAGGGTCAAGAGTTTGATCATCATAAGCACAATAAATCACACTGATTAATGCTTTCCCATAGAAACTAAAGGAGATTGGATAAATTAGCCAAAAGGAAAATAGAGCCACTTGATGAATGATGATCATTCTTCCACAGACTAATGCATTTTCACACTTTAATTATTGTGATTATGTTTTTCGTCCATATAAAACTCTCATCGAAATACCTAAATATTTATATATATATATATATTATCATACTATATAAGTTTAAGTTTGGTGCACTGTTAGTGTATTGTATTTTTACACCATCATATAACATTAACTTGACGGAGTAAAAATGTTATACATTGACAATTTACAAAATTTAAATTCATTATATATAGGTACGACTTACGAGCTTGTAGAGAGTTGGCAAAATAGTTTTTTTTTTCTTTTAATAAAGGTAACAATCCAATTCGACCCATACTCCAAAGTTTCAAAATTAGTCTAATTTTAAGGAAACCTTTAGACTTCGAATATATCATGCGTAATTTCAAATACAATCCATACTCCAAGAATTATATAGAGTTTGAATTCACATCTATAAGTTCAAATTCTAGGATTTTACCTATCATGGAATTTCAAGAAATGTTTAAATAATGACGGAATCATAAATTTAGCTAAGCGTGTAAAATTTAAAATGCACTCATTATAACTAATTTTTAACTTCTATATACTTCACATAATTTTTCAACGAAAGATATACTTTAAGGTGACTCCGCTCATGTATTTGAACTCCCTAATAGTGTAAAAGGTTCACTTGGGGAGATTGATCCAATATTATGAGCCCAAAACTATTAAACCTCAATTGCTTCTGGCCCATATCTTGCTTTTTTCCTTTTTTAATTTTTTATTATACACACTTTTCCTCAAGTATAGAATACTTTGTGAATTTTTTAAACTATAGTCTAAAAATCATTATTGATTAAACTGAAAAGCTCTAAGAAAATATTTATATCACAATTCATAGACCAAAATTTTATAAACGATAGACAACACTTGACTATATAATATTTATAAGAGAAATTGAAGAAATAAATAAGAAAATATATTAAACCATTTTTATTTTTAACGAATTACATGTTACATAATTTTAAAAATAAAAACATAATTAAATGATAGCCTAAAATGAAAAAGAAATATTTACGATACTTGTCCCGCCCATAATTTTTATTTCCCTCCAATATGAGAAAAAAAGCATTCAAATTTTGGAAATTCAATTGATATAGAAATACAAAATGCCAAGTCATCGATCTTCGTCACTTTCATCACATCTCATCTCAGCCGTTGAATATATATATCGACGGTCAATCTGATTCATCAAATATAGTTCGAAGCTCTCAATAGTAGCTATAATAATCCCTTAAATAGACCAAGAGTTCATTTCAATTCTCCATCTTCATCTAACTCTAGTTACTCAGCTTCCGATTACAGTCAGGTTAAGATGGATTTACTCTGAATCTTCTGATTATGTAATGATTTTAGCTATTGTTTGTTGATTTTTTTTGTTTTAGCAGTGAATTGAAGATGTCAGGACGTGGAAAGGGAGGTAAAGGATTGGGGAAGGGAGGAGCAAAACGACATCGTAAGGTTCTCCGTGATAACATTCAAGGTATCACTAAGCCTGCTATTAGGCGTTTGGCTCGTAGAGGAGGAGTGAAGCGTATCAGTGGACTAATCTATGAGGAGACTCGTGGAGTTTTGAAGATCTTTTTGGAGAATGTGATTCGTGATTCTGTTACTTACACTGAGCATGCTAGGAGGAAGACGGTCACTGCTATGGATGTTGTTTATGCACTCAAGAGGCAAGGAAGGACTCTATACGGATTTGGTGGTTAAAAGAATGTGTGTTGCTTTTAACTGATTTAGTGTTGTTTTTGAAGTAATAGAGTTGCTTAATCAATGAAATTGCACAATCTTCTTAAAATCGATTTCTCAAATTCTCTGTTTGAATCCTTTTTTTTTGAAGTAATCACTGAGATTGTGTATATAGTAACACCAAGATGCAATAGTATTAGTCCAATTAGATATATATTGATTTATGTTCATTGGATATACAAATGTAGGTGTATTTCTTTTGTTTTGATTAGTCATTGTTAAATCCCATTCTAGAAGATGACTGCAAGGGGCAGAGTGCGGAGCTAGGTAAGGCTCAAGGGGTTCATCAGAACCACATTTGGTGGGTTTGTTACGATTATTTTTATGTTTATATAGTAGATGTTGAATCTCTTTCGCCTTCTTTGTGTGTTTAGTTATTGATATTTTGAAACCCCTTAGTGAAAGTCTTGGCTCTGTCGTTGTTGTAGGAGTTGTAAGAAATGATAGTGTTGGTACCACTCTTGTTTCCTGTCAATGCACCTAGTTTGGTCATAGGAAGGTGTAGAGAGCTTCATAGTCGCGATTTGGAGAGAGTGATTGTTGAGAGATTTGGTGTTAATGGGATGCTTTTGCGGGCATGACACTCACAATACAATTGATCTATACAATACATGGTAGTATATATATTGATTCAAATCCTCAGAAATTTATACAAACAAAGAGGTGTGACATAGTTTTGGGTTTAAATGACTATTACAGTATTGTGCATGATATGAAAGCACTAGTGGGATATGGTTAATAATGCTTGTGATTGCTTCTCATATTTGAAACCATTTGATTTAGAATCATCAGCACTCCACACAAATATTCCAACCAACTCTCCTTTACTTTTAAGCTCACTACACGCTGTGAAAAATCCGTTTTCTGGTGATAATCCACCGCTCCCATCAGTGCCGAAGCTAGCCAAGATCCTTCCCCCTTCATAATTTGATCTTTGAGTAGAGAAATAGTCCATGAATTGAGACACAGTGGTTCCCTTATCATACGCGTAAAATTGAAAGTTAACATAGTCTATAACTTGACTATAGCTTTTCCATAGTGCCTTGTAATGACTCTGAATTTCATCATCATCATACGGAGCTATGGAAGCAAATGAAATAACTCCATTGTTTTTCAGAGTTGTAATTAGTTTGCCTATGCACTCTGCAAAAGTGTTAGGATCAGCTTGGAAATGTTCATAATCGATATCAATTCCATCCAAATTGTATTGCTTAATGATATCTGTAAGAGAAGAAACAGCATTTGAAACCCAAGAATCAACTGAAGAAGGATTGAAATACGCGCTGCTTCCACCAACACTGTCCCCTCCTAAGCTCAATGCTACTTTAACATTAGAATGTTGGTTTTTAATCGCGGAAACAGCAGAAGGGGTGAGGTTATCTGTGTCCCAAAAGACGTTGAATTGACCGTTGGTGGGAGATGGAGGAGAAGAAGACATTGTATAGTCAATAGCAAAGGAAAGAATGAAGTGAAATTCGACGCCAGAGTGAATAGGGACATCACTAAATTTGACATTATTGAACTCTGCTCCAATGTATTCCCTGAAAATATTGGAATTTCCAGGTGCAGCATAGATTGGTGATTGAAAAAGTAAGAAATGAAGAACAAAAAATGAAACTATAATCTTGGAGAGCTCCATGAAGTTTAGAAATGTTTAAATTTGCTTTGTAATATGCTAGAATGGATTGAAGATATGGAGTTTAAATAAAGGGTCCTCTAGTAGATTTTTTGAATGTATGGTTAGTGTATTAGTCAAAAGAGAAATTTAAAAGTGTTGGCTTTAGCGTAACGTTTAAGTTGGTTGATGAGTCATGAATGTGACAAACAAGAAGTAGTACTACAACGACCATTTTTACTTGTCCAGTAATGAATTGACACGTATTGCAGAAATCGTATCTATTCCATTCAATTTGAGATTATTTTATCCATTTTCCTGGTGAGATAAATTAGCCAAGGGATTATGATCCAAGGACTATAGTTTAGTCGGCATATCAAATAACAATGATAATTTTACTACATATCATTCTTTGAATATTTATTGTATTAGAAAATGACTATAATTAATAATAAGGATAAATTAAAAATTAAGTAATAAATTATTTTCAAAATTGTTAAACTGAACACTAGTTTTAGTACCGTGGACAAATAAGAAATAGTAATATATTTTAATTTTAATTAGCAGAAGATGCACGCCGATGACTCCTAAAATGTTTGTATTCTTAATAATGCCTACCTATCAATAGGTAATTGCCTGTGCCTCTATGGGTTTAGACGTTTAGTCAAGAAGTCTACTTAAATTATGCGATTGTAAAATTTATTATTAGAAATAAATGAAAATTTCAAATTATTTTTTCTCTATATTTGATTTTTAAATTCATTTTGAAATTGACTCCTTTTTTTTTCTTACATAAGTTATGTGGGGTATAGCATAAGCTGGTCTAGTATCTATTTTTCAAAGATTAGGTATTTTGTATAATATTTTTCTCCCTCTATTTTAAATTAAATAATTTTTTGAGGTATAACATACTTTTTAAAAAAAGTTAAATAATAATAACATTAATTAAAAAGTAGTTTGTAAATGTCATTCTTTCACTTTTAGTCAAAAGTTTCCTTAAAATTAAATATAGTCAATGAAAAATTCATTAAAGAGCAGAGTAATTTTAGGAAAAGAACAATTAATACATCTTTAGACTGTGAAAACTTCATTCATATTGAATTAGAATAAAGTTTTAAAAAGTTCATTTCTATTGACTAAAAAAAATTCATTTTGATAAAAGTTATGATTATTACTCCCATTATTTTAATTTATTTGTCTTGATTTGGAATGCTAGGATCAAACTAACTAATGTTCGATGTGAATTCAAATATAGAACTTTAACCTTTTTAAAGTAAATAAATAATATTATATGTTAGTGTTTTAAGACGCACGGACACAAGATAAGACATTTTATGCAACACAAGGTAAAACATAAGTCCCATAAATCTACAAGGCATATATTTCAGTTTTAAACTTTTATTACTTTTTAAAATAAACAAGAAGTAAAATTTTCAATAAATTATATTTTAAACTGAAATTGAAGTAGACTGATTTTCTTTAAATTACCATCTTATAATATTATAACTATCCTACTGCAGGAATATTTTGAACTATGCCATTACCACCTGGGACATCGACATATATCCAAACTCTATTACAACAAATATCTGTAATATTTGTAACTTGTTTGTAAATAACCACTGCTGTAACAACGCTATTTGAATTAAGAACTTGATTCACAGCATCTTTTTCATGGGTTGCGACTAACTCAGGCCATTCATATCGCGAACCTTTAGGGAACAAACCCGATCCAGCACAATCGTTACCAATACATTTACAAACCATACAAGGAGGGTAACTGCTACGACTCTCAATTGACGAATAAATTGCACATAGAATACCTATAACTAGTGAAATTTTTTTGAACATTTTTTCTAATTTTTGATTTGCATATATATATGTTGTTATTGACATTTTATAGTGAAGTTCATATAATGAAATTGTAAAGAGAAGTTGACTACTCTAGTGTTGGTACCAAATAGTAATTAATGTACCTTGAATTTTTGACTAATTTGAAGATTTGAAGTGATGGGATATTTCATTTAAAGAATTAAGCAATTTTTTTTATAGCAATTGTCTTTAATGAGAGTAATAATTTCAAATTTTATCTTTGACTGATATAAAATAAAAATAGTATATTGTATTAAATAAATTTCATAATTACCGAATATAAAGTTGTTCTATCCTCAAGATTTGAAGACGAATACTTCAAATTTATAAAAGTTAGATATTAGTTTTCTCTCCTCTCTAATTTTGAAAAAAAATAATCGAACCAACATGGGTTGTGGTGCATTGGTAGGAGTGCTTCATCCTTAACCAAATATTTCGAGTTCGAGCCCTGGGTATGGAGAAAATTCTGCTGGGAGCGCCACCCCCGAATAAGCCCTGTAATGCACGATCCGAATTTAATCCGGACTCTAATGTGAGTTCCGAACACCAGAAAAAAACCACAAAGTGAAAATCTCATTATGGTGAAGTAGATTCCTTATATCTTTAATCAAAATTTCGTGTTCAAGCTCTTAAAATGAAACATAATTAAAAATAAACCCTAAATGTACGAATATATATTTAATCAAACTCTATATTGAATGAATTATTTTTTTTGTCAAAATTCCATCATCAAATAATTTACAATCCCTTATCCTACTGCAGGAATATTTGTAACAAATCCATTACCACCCGGTCTATCTACAAGAATCCAAACTCTATTACAACAATTATCTGTAATAGGGACTTGTTTGTAAATAACCACAGGAGTAACAAAAGGGTTATCCTTTTTCACTTGTTCCACAGCATATTTCTCATGTGTAACTATTCAAAATTCAAAAAATAAAATTATTAGAAAAACGTTTAAATCGCGATAATTAAAATTATACGACAAAATTAGGTATCGATACGTACATGTTAATTCGGAAAATTCCAGTTTTGCCCATAGAGGAAACATCCCAGTACCAGCACATTGATTGCCAACACAATTACAAGTATAACATGGAGGATAAGCAGGGAGACTTTGCACAACATAAATTGCACAAAGAAATGTTATAACATATGATATTTTTTTGAACATTTTTTTCTAATTTGATGGATTTTTGTGGTGAGTTTTTACATCTTTTTTTTATAGTGTAGAAATGAACAACTCAGCATTTATTATATTGATTTGATTTCTATTTATAAAAGCTAAAGTCTAATATTTTTATGTCCATTTTTGTTTGTATTCTCATCAAATCGGATAAGGAAAAACTATTAATTAAACTTTAAAATTGGTATATTGATCTCATGCACAATCAAGTTTATTTTTTAAGATCTTATCTTTTATTGTTAAATCATTTTTTTTGAGTAATCATTATTCATACTTTATAATTTTATGGATCATACCATCCTGAAACTTTTTTAATTCACGAAATATTGAATAAACTTCATATTAATTAGTATTTGTATGTATATGTATTTTCTTATTATATAAGAGGGAGTTTATGATGGGACATTGTGATGTCCAATCATAAACTTCCTATATAATATATAATATATAATATAATAAATCATTTTTTCTACTATATAATATATATTTATTTTTCTACTATAAGGGAGTTTATATAATATATAATAATATAATATAATAAATCATTTACAAATGACTTAAAATATTTCATATTTAAAGGATATATAATAAAATAGGTTCACTCTCAAAATTCTATCCAGGTCACATATATTGGGACAGAAAAAATAACATATATCATTTTAAAATTACCAAAAAAGTATTATAAATAATAATAATTAACAACTTAAAATATCTTAAAGACATTTTAAAAGGGTTAATTTTGTAATTGTAATTCTACTATTATATAAGAGGGAGTTTATCATGGGACATTCTATGTGTCCCATCATAAACTCCCTATATAATATATAATATAATAAATCATTTTTTCTACTATATAATATATATAATATATATTTATTTTTCTACTATATAATAAAAGGGAGTTTATATAATATATAATATCATAATAAAACCCCTTTTATTATATAGTAGAAATAAATATAATATATATATAATATAATATAATATAATAAATCATTTACAACTGACTTAAAATATTTAATATTTAAAAGATATATAATAAAATAGGTTGACTCTCAAAATTCTAACCGGGTCACATATATTGGGACAGAAAAAATAACATATATCATTTCAAAATTACCAAAAAAGTATTATAAATAATAATAATTAACAACTTAAAATATCCGAAAGACATTTTAAAAGGGTTAATTTTGTAAGTTTATCCATATCACATAAATTAGGACAAAGTGACCAGCAATGTAAGTTATTTGAAAGTTACATAAAAATATTAACAATAATTAATAACTTAGAACATTTTTTTTAAAATGCAAATTTGGATGACTCTTCAAATTTCATTTGTGTCACATAAATTGAGACAACAAAAATAACATATATTGGGTCCATTTTAATTTATTTGTCTTAATTTTTTTTATATTTAAAAATTGCGTAAAAATACTATAAATCATGACAATTGACAACATAAAATATTTCAAAAATAAATACATATAAAAAAATTCGATTAATTCTTGAAATTAATCTATCGTTAAAAATTATGTATAAAATACAATAAATCGTGATTTTGACCACTTAAAATATTTATTAAAAAAAACAGAAAAAATAAATTGACTGATTGTTAAAATTAATCCATCAATGTCACATAAAATGAGACAAAAGTAGTAATATGTATTGTTTAATGTGAAATTATTGAACACTACGTAAAATGTATTATAAATGTTAACAATTAACAACATTTGATTGAATCTTGAAATTTTATCAATGCTACATATATTCAGACAAGTGGAGTAATATATATTAAGTATTTAAAAATTACGTACAACCATATTGCTTTCTGTAGGCTTCGAATTATCGTGGTCATTTTTTAGGCTAATACAAGTTTTGTACTTTTTTTTTAATATTATAAATCGCAATAATTAATAATTTAAAATATTTTAAAAAATATATTAAAAATTTAGTTGGTTTTGGGAATTTTATTTAT